CAGCCGCGGGCCGGGCCCCATAAAGGCGGCGGCGCGGCGGGGCGCTGCGCGGAGCCGCCCCATGCACTGCAGCAGGTAAGCGCCCGCACCCCCCGCACCGCCGTTCCCGCACCGACCGACCGACCGACCGACCGATCCCTGCCTCGGCTTTGGCTGGCGGGTCATTGCCGCCTCCCGCACCCCCCGGCGTTGCGGTTCTTGGGCTGGCTGGGTTCGGGGTGGTTTTTTGGCCACCCCGGGGTGCCGCAGCCGCCGCGGGGCCGGTCGGGGAGGGTGCGGGGAGAAGGGCTTTGCGGCCGCAGGGATGCCCCGGTAAAGCCAAGCGGGAGCCGATGGATGCGGTGCTGCCGCCCCGCTCCCCGCAGCTCCCAACCCCGCCACCGCGGGGGGAAGAGGGCAAGGAAGAGAACGGAGAGCGCGGTGCGGGGCCCGCGGGCTCTGGCGGGATCCCGGGGAAGGAGAAAGCCATTTATTGAAGGGACAAAGCAAATGCTGCGCCTTCCCGGGACTCAGCGGAACCCCCCCTTTCCAGCCAAGGCCGCATCCCCCCCCGGGAGGGACCCGCCGCATCCCCAGCCCCTCTTTAGGGGTCCTGGAGCCCAGGGGCTCCGAGGGGACCCTTCTCCCATCCTGATTGGGATTTTCATCGCCTGAGAGGGAGGGTTATGAGCGGGTCTCTACAAACAAAGCTGGGGCATTCCTACTGAATTTTTGCAGTAGGCTTTTGGCATGGACTTCGGGCATTATAAAAAAGTGGTTTTAAGCCAAAAATAGTGTGTGTCTCCTTTCCCCCCCTCATTCCCTCAGCAGTCAGTGTTAGCCGGGCAGAGCTCTCTTACCCAGCCCAGGGCTTAGAGCTCATGCCAAATATTTCCAGAGGTGCTTTAGCATTTTAATTCATCCAAGTTAAGCGGAGTGCCTGACACACGCGTGTGTGGTTGTGTGAGGGTGCTGCACTGTGGTACGTGCCCCCCCCTTGGCTGCTGTGATGGGGCAGGCGATGTGCTTAAATATAGTGCTGCCTGTGCCCAGGGAATCTTAATGCTGGAATTTTAAGAGCTGGCTGAGGGTCTCCGGGAGGAAAGCTGCTGCGGACGAGCACGTCCCCTGTAACCAGATCCCTCTTACTGGCAACCAGAATGTTCTTTTCTGCCTCTTCAATGAAACGTGCTTAATTAGCTGTTGCTAAAATCTATTTTTCAGCGGTTCTGAAAGAGCAATTGAGACTGAAATTGAACCCAAAGAGTTCAGAATCGGCAAGAAAACACTGGCTGCTCTTGCCCTCGTTCCTCAGCTCCAACTGTCAATTTTAATTTAGGCTGCATTATTTAAAGCCGTGCAAAGACAGGGCCGTGAATAATTAAGATGGCGGATGAAGCCAATACACATTCTTAAGAAGCTTCTTACCTGAGGTAGCGAGTAACAGCGTCCCGCCTTTCTGCTCCTTCCAGGATGATACAGATCTTGGACCCCAGGCCCTTGCCCAGCTCCATCATGCCCGTGGACGTGGCCATGAGGATCTGCCTGGCCCACTCTCCCCCGCTGAAGAGCTTCCTCAGCCCCCTCGAGGACTGCCAGAGGAACAACTTTGTGAACAGATTCAAACCCCTCCGGCCGTGCCTCCACGTGAGACGCGACTCGGAGGCCCAGAAGAGCGACTGGAGCCGCTCGGCCGCCCGGGCCAAGAAGCGGGTGGTGTTTGCGGATTCCAAGGGGCTGTCCCTGACGGCCATCCACACCTTCTCCGAGAGCCAGGAGCAGCCTGCCTGGGATCTTCAGTTTGACCTCCTCGGCTTGGAGAGCATAACGTCTGGCTTGAAGCTACACGAGGAGAAAAACTTGATTCTGGGTTTCCCTCGGCCGTCGGCTGACTACCTGGACTTCAGGAACCGCCTGCAGAAGAACTTGGTGTGCCTGGAGAACTGCTCCCTGCAGGAGAAGGTGCTGTCGGGCACTGTCAAAGTGAAGAACGTCAGCTTCGAGAAAAAGGTTCGGGTTCGAATTACCTTTGACACCTGGAAGACCTACAGGGACGTCGAGTGTGTCTACATGAACAACGTTTACAGCGACTCCGAAAACGATACCTTCTCCTTCTCCATTGACTTGCCTCCCACCATATCCTCCGAAGACAAGATAGAGTTTTGCATTTCCTACCAAAGTGGAGAGCACACCTTCTGGGACAATAACGAGGGTCAGAACTACAAGATTCTCCATGCGGAGTGGAAGCCTGATGGCGTTCAGATGCCGTCTGCTGAGAAAGACTATGTAGATCTTCAGAGCCCGAGGAGAGGACAAGAGCGAGAGCCCGAGCAGCTGGGCAGCCCCAGGCTCTCCAGCAGCCTCTTCCCCCAGTGGCAGAGCTTGGGGCAGGTTGAGAATTCCTCACCATACTGGTGAGCTGGAGGAGCGAGGAAGCCTTCCTCCCTTTGGCAGCAGAACCGTGTTGGTTCTCCGCTTCACGTGCTGTGCAAGGAGACCACCTGGCAGGCTGTGTGTGCTCTCTGAGCAGAGCCACCTTCACGAGGTGGTGGGACTTGATGAACCGCGTCATGCTACTGAAGTTCTCAGCCAAAACTTACCCTTGGCAAGAGAGAAACCCAAGAGAAACCCCCTGCTGTAGATAGAGCATGGCCCATCCTACGCGTGCGCTGCTCTCGCTCTGCCGCAGGCTCTGGCCAAGCCGGGGGGCAAGAGGCTCTGGTGGGGGGCTGTGGAAGGAGATGGTGTCTCAGCCAGCTGCAGTGACTGCGTGTGTGAGGGTACGTGTGTGTGTGTTACACGGACAGGACATCAGGAGGGGTTTGGCCGCCGTTGGGTGGGCAGCAGAGATGAGGTGACACTGTTGGATCGGGGGCTGGCTCTGACCCCGTGTCCCCGCAGCGGAGGTCGGGGGGGAACCCACCGTTGGGGTCTGGGCATCGATGTGGGTTGAGAAACTTGGAGTGGATAATGGACAAGTGAGAGGAGGGGAAGAGGTGGGATGTGCTGTGTGGCTTGGAGACGTGCAGTGTTCCGATGGCTTCTTTCCAAAGCTGGTCTTCTAAATCCCAGAGAAGAAACTCTGCGGGCTGTAGAGGAGAATGCAGGAACCGGTCCAGGGGACAGTGGAGGCAGCTGCTGCTTTGGGAAGGTGGACATCTCTGTCCTCCTCGGCTGGGTGAATAACAGGTGTCTTGCACTGGAGGACAAATCTGACCTTGGCTCCATCACCCTACTGGCTGGGCAGGCAGGGGGCTGCCTTTTAGCATTAAAGGAAAAACGTGCCTTTTGAAAGAAGAAGAATTTTAAAGCCACCCCAGGGGCCAAAAGCAGGGCTCGGTGACGTCGCAGACCGGGCGGTTTGTGAACTCCCTCCTCTGCAGCAGCACCTGGAGGGCAAGTGTCCTGCTTCCCGGTGACACGGTGGCCGTGGCTTTCCCCAGTGCGTGACGTAGGCCAGGTCCTTCATATTGAAGCCAGTGGATGAGCTGCGGGTCGTGGAAGCTGATCCCTTTACAAGAGCAGGGTTGCTACTAGTTTTTTCTAGACCGACTATAGGCTTGCACAGAAATAGGAAAAACTGCTCTGTTTTATTGTACCTCATTTTTTGAAGGTTTTTTTTTTTTAGACTTCAGTAAACTAATGTATATTTTTTATCTGTATGCTCATAATTTAGCTTTCCGAGCTGTCAGACTGTAAGGGTGACCTGTGTTTCATGCAAGACTTGTGAGAAATTGTCCAATATACCCAGCGTGTGTGAGTTCTGGCACACATTTTAGCTTTGCAGAAATGGTGTTAACATCAAAATATAGATCACATTTTTGCCTGTGGCTAAGAAGTACAATATCCTGAGCCTGAAGCTACTTGCAGTGCAGTGAGACAATAAATACTAAGGTGAAATAAGCCTCTTCCACTAATTGCACTTTTTCCCTATGAAACCCCTGCTGTTATGTGTAAAGTAGCCATTTTAAGAATAAACTGTATTTTGATACACCTGGTTCTCACTCCGTCACCTCCGTCTGTTTGCTTTCTCTACTTTTTTGGGCAACCACAAAGTTGTGGTATGAGGCACAGACGGGTCCCTCCGTGCCATGGACCTTCCCCTGCACAGATTTAGACCAGGGGAAGGGTGCGTTGTTTCCCAAGGGCCCTCGTCCCCGGGGACAGAGGTTTTTGGCAAATCCCTGCTTCTCCCAGGAGGCGATTGAGCCCAGCAGAGCAAAGCAGGGGAGCCAGTGCCATGGGACACCAGAGACTTTATGGGGGATTCCTCACCACCTTAACTCAGGGACAGGACACAGTTCAGTTCTACCCCCTGCACACAAAGCCCAGGGTTTCCCAGCAAGAATTCTAGTTTAATTAGGAAAAAAGCAATTCCCAAAAGACAACATGGCACTCACAGCCCTTTTTCGACCCGGGGAAGGAATTCAGAGCTTCCACACTGTGAAGGACACAGATCCCTCCTTTCCCCAGCACCATCCACCAACCTCAGACCCTCCTGAGCAGCACTGCCCGGGGCAGGAGCGCTGGTGGGACACACTGCAACCCAGCACCTTTGCTTTGGAAAAAAAAACAACCAAAAAAAAGAGTGAACTGCAGAGAAATATATAACTTAAGTGGCTTGAAGGCTCCTCTGGCTCTTGGTGGGACTTTGCTTCAGCAAACCAGACATGAGGCCACTGGGCAGAGCAGATGCCTTCCAGCATGAGGAAAGGCAGCATTTCTCATCCTCCAGCCGAGTTCTGGGACCAGCCATCTCAGCTCAGAAACACTTACTCACCCTGCTCTTGGCGGAGACAGAAATCACTTCAAAAATGCCAGAAGGCGGGTTCCTCTGACCAAGCTGTGGCTTTTAACCAGCTTCTGTGCCAAGATGCCTTGTGAGGTTTTACTTGCCCAGGGGGGAGGCTGTGCAGTGCCACAGGGTCACCCAGCAGCTCCAAAGCCCTCCCTCAGCTGGGGGACCAAAGGGTTTCTCCTCTCTCCCATCCCCACCAAAGCGATGCAGTTTCACTCTTCCCTTTTTTAAAAACAAAACTTGTGTTCAGCACTAAAGCTCGCATCCATCGAGAAGGTAACAGGCTCCTGAAGGAAGGCATTAGCAACACTGAGGTATATTAACTGGGAAAAACACTACTCTTAGAGTATTTATGAGGAAAAAAAAAAAAAATCACCCTTGGAAACCTGTCTCAGCTGAGGAGAGTGAAACAAACACACATCTTAATGATGCTCCTTCAGATACATCCCATTCGAAAGCTGAAGGTAAAAGGCAGATGCAGTCCTTGAGCCAGAGCTATGGCACGTCTCACTCCCTGGGGAGGACACTTCTCCAGCTGCACTGTAGATCGTGTTCCCACCACTAAGGTTACAGAGTGAACGACTGGGTTCACTTCTGTGTCTCTGCAGGACTAAGGTGTCCTGTGCCCATGTGGGTCTGGGCAAGCGCAGCCTTCAAAGGGTTCAGGTAGAAAACGCCAGGGGAAAAAATAAGGCTACTCAACAGCTAAAAACTGGACTTTTTGTCAGGAGCGACTGTCGGTGAGATTATGGTTACAGAAGTGTCACAACCAGACCCAATTCAGGGGGAAGGGGTAAATATGGAACAAGCAAACAAACACAGGACACCAGAAACTGGGAGCCTGCAAGAGAAGAAATTGCTCTACAGCTGACTTCTACGTAAAAGAAATAAGTGGGGAAGAATAAAATAAAAAATTATTTGCTTCAAAGGTGTTACTGGGGAAAAACCTCTGCTATCTCTTTGTATTTCAGCTCATCGTGGTATTTGATACGCTTGTGCTCCCAGCACCTTGCACTTTGCTTTCAGGAGTGCCGTGACAGCGGGTGCTGCTGCACACTCAGTGGGGCAGAGGGACCTTCCCCTCTTCTGCACAAAGAGTGAAACACAACAGAAACCTTCACACGGTGCAGCTCCTGCCCCAAGGGGTCCCCCCTTCCCCCAGTCACACACCAAACCGCAGGTAACTGTGAAGTCAAATCTGCAAAATTGGAATGTCAAAAGCAAATATCTGATTTTTATTTTTTTGTAAAGACTGTGTCTTACTGACATTCTTTTGACAAAATACCATTTTAACAGACTAATTCATAGCATGCAGCAGGTATCATTAACTGAAACCAGGGAAAGCTCAGGGTGAGGTGGTTTTCTCTGTGTGCTTTTGTATTTTGTCTTTTTTTTTTTTTAAAAAAGGCTTTTCTTTGCAAGGCTTTGCTTTTGTCTCTCACCTTCCCACTCACAGTCTCCCTCCGGTTTCCCAGGCCTGGAGCTAATCCAGCATCTAACCAGGAGACAGATAGGGCCTGAAAGCATCCAGCTGCCTTGCTCTAACCCAACAGTTGCAGTAGAATTCATAGAAGTTTACAAAAAAATACCAATCCTCAAACACAAAATGACAACGCACCAAAGAAACCAAAATCCAGAACAAGCCTAAACCCCAGTTCTATTCCCCAGCTGATTACAAAAGCTTAATTACACACTGCAGGTCCATCGGGTCGGGTCAGGGATATTATGGCCCAACGCAGAGCTCCGGGTGGGCTCTGGGCCCCACAGCAAATCCACCCACCCCGGGAGGAGGGGTCCATCCGTGACCCAGAGCAGAGCCACCGCCACCACCGTCCTCCCTCCTCTGCCCACAAAACCCACCGAGGGACACGGCGCAGGGACACCCGGGGGCTGCAGGGTCAGGTGTGATTTTGTGTTCAGGTGACGACAACATGTCAGATATTGATGCCCTTCAACCTCTCCATCCAGCAAAGGGGGTTGGTGGAAGAGCTCCTCACATTTTCTGCTCCACTTTGAGGGTCCCTCCCTCCCTCTCGCCTTCGGAGGTGCTCAGTCAGAACCAGCACATGGTCTCCTTGTCCATAACCACCACCCTCAACACCTGCAACAACATCCCTTCGCTCTGCCTTGGGAACTCAGGAAATATTAACCTCCAAGCCATTCCCCAGCCATAAAACTTCTTTTTTTCTTTTTTCCATTAGGCTGTAAGAGCCTTTTCTTACCTGTTACAATCTTCTGAAAGACCGTGGGTGCCTGAATCGGTGGGTGGCATCACTTTCAGAGGTCTGTCACTGTCCTAGCTCAGGAGGGACACCAGGGCAGTAGACAATCCCAGTACAGAGGAACCATCTGCTGCTGGAAAGGAGACCCCAGCAGCTGAGATGAGAAGAGCTAGGGCCACTCGTAGGTCCTCTGGACAGGAGCTAAGAAACCTCCCCCAGCAGGAGACAGGAAGGGTGCTCTAGGGGTAGGTGTTACTGCTGCAGTCAGGATCCTGGGGGCTCCTGGGGGTGGTGGGTTGGTGCCAGGGGCTGCACGAGCTGCAGCTGGGAAAGGGGCAGCAGATGATGCTCATTGCATGGCCCACGTGGTGGTTATTTGCTAAATGACCAAATGACATTCATTCCTTTCCAAATCAGAGCTTTCCCATGCTGGAGGGAAACAAAAGGGGTGTTTCATGGGTCCCTGTCTCAGCATCCTCGTCGTACTGGGTAGGACCAGCGGCCAAACTTTTTATGTTGGCTCCTGAGACAGCGTAAGGTGAAGGCACCACTGGAGAAGTACCTGGGCCTGTGCTAAGGAGCTTCTCAGAGTCTCAGGAGTGGGTACAAGATGTTCCCACTCAGCTGGAATGTTGCATTTTATTCTATCCAGTGAAAAATATGCTACTTCCTAAGTATAAAATGCCGTACAAGTGCTAGAGGTGAACGTTCTGGGCAAGAGCAGGTTCAGGTGTTGTGTAGTCATTGGTAAGAGAGGTCTGGGCAGTCACTTTAAACAATTGGTCACCGTCCCTGGGCTGAAAGCTCCCCAGAGAAGGCAAAATGTGACCCCTGGGGACCTACAGATCACAAGTTTGTACTAACGCCTTCCTCAGCCGCGGGTGGATGCGCGGCAGCAATGCCAGTCCAAGCAACAATTAGGCAGAGACGTGTATTTATAGTTAATTATCGTCTTAGGGCAGCAAGAGCAGAGTGGAGTGAATTCCAAATGCAAAATGCTGCCCCCTCTTCCTTTTCCATAGGGATTATATTGGTCCCCCCCTTGGGAGCCCTTTCAAAGGCTTCTCAGTGCTGGGATTTAATGCCTGGCGTTGCTGACGTGCGGAATTATAAATGGAAAGGAGCATCTTTGCCCCTTTCTGTTTTTAGATTAGGGACAGGGAAAACAGCCTTTACGCCCCCGCGTGAAGCCAGGAGAGCCCAGGGATGCAGCTGGAGCTGGAGCATCCCAGAGGGAGGGAGGTAAAAGTCCCTCTGGACCTACCAGAGCAGAGGGAAGCTGTGGAGCAAAGCTCTGTCAAATCCTGGTTCCTCTGTGAGTGTTATTTCAGGAGCCAAGAGGAGAATGGTTCTGCTGCAGCCCCTTGGGCAGGAGAGGGGCTGGGTTCCAGCTGAGCTGATACCCCTGGCTGTCAGCAGTTGGAGGGGTTCCACAAAAGACAGTAAAAAAACCCTGATTTTCTCTGGATGGACCTGATGTACACAACAAAAAAATCTTTTATTAAAAGCAATAAAGAGAACGGGAAGCGTGTTTACCCACCCTTAATGCAGCATTATTAACAGCTCTGGTATGTGCTTTCTGAAGTGCCCTACAGACGTTTTCCAGACACAGCTCTGCCTGGTTTCCAATTCCGCTTGTTTACTGAGTGTTTTTTAAGCCCTCAAGGCACAGGTCTTGCAGCAGGACTTACAAAAATGGTCTCTCATCACACTTGTGGAGGATCTTCTCAGACAGCAGGGTCACTACCGCTCCAGCAAGATGAGGAACCAGAATAAATTTCTAATAATTTACTTTTATTTTCCTACTGTGCCTTTGGTAAATAGAGCAGTGCAATTCACAGGCACGTAACCTGTGGTTTAGGCACCACAGGTTTAAAATAATCTTGAGACTGTGGTGTGCTTTTTGTTTTTCATATCTGGGCTTAAAAATTTTGCCAGAGCAACTTCTTGCCTTCCCTGCCCCGAGTCGTGGGTTTGTGCAGAG